CGGAAAACAACACAATTTTATACAGATTTAGGTATTGTGTTTAAGTCAGAAAATAGTTGCAAATATGCTACACTTTAACGACCCAACAGTTTAAAGCGTCGCAAAGTAGTTGGTAATTCATGACGCTAAAGTGACAAATATGCGACTACATCTGATCATTCGTGACAAAAATATAGAAAGCGTCGCAAAGTAGTTAGTAATTCGTGACTAACTTGCGACTACATCTGATCATTCATGGCCAAACAATTTAAAGCGTCGCCAAGTAGTCGTTAATTTCTAATGCTTTAGTGACTATTATGCGACTACAAATAATCATTCGTGACTAACACAGTAGTCTCAAAAGTGTCGCAATTTTATGACTATAAACTCGTCATAAATTAGTCACAAATTAAAGACGATAATATCAGTCATTAAGTAGTCGCAAATTTTGTGGTGTCACGAATTAGTCGCTAATTTGCGACTCTATATTAACGTCTCAAAGTAGTCATAAATTACCGACTACAATTAATGGAAGCAAAAGCATCGCAAATTTGCGACGCATGCATGACTCTAAAAATTAGCGACGAATGTTTAGCGACTACTTTTTTTCGTCGCACAGTAGTCGCAAGTGAGGTCTTTGTGACGAATGTGTGACTCTTTTGGGAGTCACTAACTATCTGTTTTTTTGTAGTGCAAATGGTAAAAAGTAAATTCTACCAAAGTTAGTTTTAATCATTTAAATCTAGAACCATTAAATTACGAGTTATTTACTTTCCAAAAACGTTTTATTCGGTAGATATTTCCTAAATCTATTATTCTCCTTCCTGATTTTCTTCTTATAGTCAAAAACATTTTTGACATTTTTTTTGTAAAACGTTTTTGGAAAAAACACATTTTGCTTTTTTTGAATCCTACAAGTTTATTATTAAAAACGGAAAATTTATATGAATATAATGTTAGGAATTTTGCTAAATTGACTCACATTGAATTAGTGTTTTGCAAAATAACCTTTGCCTTTATTGTACCAACTTTTTCCTATATTACCCTTTGATTAATATTGGAAAATAAAACAAAATGGTTTTTAAAATTTTATAAAATCAGGAAAATAATTTTTATAAAATAATTACCCTTTATTATAATTTTATAATTTTATAATTATCCTTAATTATAATTTTATAATATTTTTCTGCCAAAATTTTCCAACATTACTCTTTGATTAATATTCCAAATTACAAATAAATGGTTTTCATAGTTTTATAAAATCAGGAAAATACAAAAGAGTAATGTACAAGACATATAGATTCATATTTATATTTTTTTTTCAAAAGAAACTATGACAAAAAATTATTTTGTTTTTCCTTCTACCATTGTCGAACCTACCAGTAGATTAGGTGTTCTGCGAATTTGTATCATTCTACGAGTGGTAAAAATAAGTATTCTACTAATTGCACAAGTTCTACATATCGCAGATTGCACATTCCACCATTTTGCTTCAGTACTACCAGACCAGCGCAGAATGCTATTTCTACCAATGTCTTTATCGTATACGCCACGTAGAATGCATATTCTACCCTTTCTATCTACCTCTTTATCCATCTTCTACCAAATGGTAGAAAGTCTATTCTACCAAAGGTAGTTTGAATCCCCTAAATCTAGGACCATTAGTTATTTACTTTTCAAAAAACATTTTATTCGGTATTTACTTTCCAAAAACGTAGATTTTTCCGGGAAAAACATATTGATTTTTTTGTCAAATGTTTTTGTAGTGTTTTTGGAAAAAATACATTTTAAAACACATTTTTATTTTTTTGAATTTAATGGAAAACTTATATGAATATA